ACTGCCTGGGTTAGGGTTAGGCTTAGAGTTAGGGTTAGGGTTAACATAAAAGAACTACTGAGGGCGTAAAACACCCTCCCGATTACCGGAGACTCGCAGTGATACAAGCCTGAATGAATGTTATGTTGTATGAAAGAAGCTTCACGTTCATTCAGGATATTCTCCGTTTCCTATCTTAATGTAGACATGCTTTTATTGTTACACAGGGAAGAAGAATTATTGTTGTTTGATGGGTGAACATGTGAAGTGTTCGAATCTTTCCGTAAGGCAGATGTGAGCTGTTAGGGTCGACTGCACGCAAGCTTTCCTGAGAGCGATCAACAATAGAACTGCATAACCCTGACGTTTTCAATAAACTATTCAGGCAATAAAATAGAAAAGGCTTGCTTTTGGTTAGTGTATGATGTAACTGTAGGTGGACTGCAATAATTGATAATGATGTAGTTCAATCACATCAAGTAACTCATGGCACATCTATTGTCAGATATCCCTGGATTATCAACATGCAGTTATTACAGTCAACGCTGTCTGTTATGACTTATACTTGTTATCCAGCTGCCAACGCTTTGCTCAATATCATAAAAGTGTTTTTGATCCGTAATAAAATGTGTTTAAAATCCTGTAGGCCTATTGATATAACGCATTTCTGAGTGTTGTAGAAATACTACTGGCATAGCATTGCATATATCTGGAACGGGGAGTAGTAGAAACTCTATTAATAGAAATCTCTCTATTTTGGGCTAACGCTCCATTAGGAGTGTTCCCAACGTTGATATCATTAATGATTAATGATTAATGATTGATAACCCTATCCCTAGCCCTAGTCCTAGCCCTAATCCTAACCCTAACCCTAACCCTAACGCTAACCCTAACCCTAACCTAACCTATAACATAACCCTATAACCATTAATGACATTAAAGTCCACTCCTAATGGAGTATCATCCCTATTTTGAGCTCAGTGATGCTGCTCTGTGCTACTCACTTCTCAGCATCGTCAAGTGTTGTAAGATGGCCATAATACATTACGTAAGGAGTATTAGAAACTCTTGAGATCTCTGGTAGCCTTGTGCTGCAATAATTATGCTTATCAAAGCGCATATGTGTCTGTTTGAGATAGAAATACATGGATGAATGAGAAATTATCTCTCTATCTCTGTCTCTGTCTCTCTCTCTCTCTCTCTCTCTCTCTCTTTCTCTCTCTCTTTCTCTCAAGTCAAGTTCAGCGCTGGCGTTAGCACACAGCATGCCACTTATATAAATAATATGATATACAAAATACCGCTTTATGTTTGACTTGCTATTGTTTAACTTGCTATTGTGTAACGTGCTATGTTAACCTTATTATATATATATATATAATGCTTTCTCTTTCATTATCTTTAAGTATATTGCTGCTGTCGCAAGTGAACGAGGCAGAACGGCTATTGCGTGCCATATACATGCCACAAAACTCCTACTGCATTCATGTCGACAAGAAAGCTTCCCCGGATATCCAGCATGCTCTTATGGCACTAGCTAGGTTTGAGAAATTTATCACTTCTACACGCATGCACGCGCACGCGGGCACGCATACACCGCGCGGAGTTTCAGGGCGGCGTGAAACTTGATGCTAAACGCCACCACCCTGCGTAGAATTCAATGGGCACCACTATGTAGTAATGCAATATAGTTGCGTATGAAAGTACAACCGTATGCCCAAATAAATGTGTTTAGATAAAACCTCGCGGTAAATGGTAAGCTTTGAGCAAACCCAAAAACTAATCTAAATTGAGTGTTAGGACGATGGTAATTCTCTTGTTTGACGTATTTATTGTCGATACTAATCATTGGTTGGTTGGTGTATAGACTTGATTTCTGACCTTTTCTACCGTATATACCTTATAGCATACATTTACCTGCTGCTGCTATAAAAGGTGGTATCGTTTCATCAATGTCATCGTCGCCGTCGTCGTCGGTTGCCGCTATTATGTCAGTGAAATCCATAATAATTCCTAATTCCGTGCTTTTTGTGTTACAGGTGTTTTGATAATGTATTCGTTACTGCAGAGCAGTTGGATATCATATATGGAACTATAACTCTAGTCACAGCAGAGCTAAACTGCATGCGTGACCTTCTTCACTTCAACAAAGATTGGAAGTACTTTATCAACCTTGCGAGTGAGGAATTTCCGCTGAAAACCAATAGAGAATTAGTCAAAATTCTCAAGCTTTACGATGGTTTGAACGAGATACAACAGGTTTGTTCTTTTTATAACGCCAGCAATTAACGCATTGCAACTTCATGTTGCGATATAGAATCGTTAATGGGGTAATTGATAAAAATAAGATATATATTCGTTAGTGTTATTCATCTATGACTGGCACGGCGTGTAAATGCGGGTAGATAAAAATAATATATCTGCTGTCGGACTTGGGAAGTCGTGCGTACATGAAGCCTCAATGAGAGCCGTAATAATAATATCCGCATCATCACACAAATACGCGGGATGTCACCGTTCTTCGGTTAGCTGTATCAGTAGTTGTTGTGAATCCACGAAAGAATTTTTTTTAGATTTACTTTTCGTACGTTTTGCAGGTAAACCACGTGCACATCGCGAAGCACACCAAATACAAGCACGCGCTGCTCCCGTGTGATCGCGATACCGAGTCGCCGTCAGCTGTGTGCATGACAAAGACCGATCAGTTGAAATCGGCGCCTCCGCATGACCTTGTGATTTTTAAGGGCAGCCGCTACGGAGCATTTAGTCGGCGATTTTCTGACTTTGTCGTCCACAGTGCGGTGTCTGCGGCTTACGTGGAGTGGCTGCAAGACACGCTCATACCTGACGAGCTGTTCTGGGGCACGCTCAACAGAAATCAACACATTTATCCGCCAGGCGGCTCCACAGGTATGCCATTTCTCGAGTGCGACGTTCTTTCCTCTTTTGAGTGTTGACTGGCCATAGCGAGTGAATTAAATTGAGAGCACGGGCTGCGCTATTGCGTTCCCGACTTGGGCGCCAGTCGCCAGTGACCAAATATTTGAATGTTGGAAAAGAATGGATATATTTGAAGATTTGTGCAATATTGGATATATTGCATTATTTGTGACGTATTTCTTATTTGATGACGAATTCAGAGACCGATGGTCATGCAAACAACAATAGCCCTTTTTTATTTAGAATGTAATGGATTATTTGAAAGTAAATGAGTCAATGTGAGAATACATTTCTGCTTATAATTTTTTTTGGGGGTAGGCCTAACTCCATTATAACCATATGATCATACTCACATAACATTTTCCGAAAACCGTTCCTGCTGTTTTCATCCAGTAATTTAATCTTGGTTTGACCGTAATTCGAATTGTTGACAGTGTTGTGTTGATATTTTTAGACGGTTAGAATATACCGTTGGGCGGCGAGGCAATACACTCAGAAATGGTGCACGAAACCTCTTGACACGGCAATATATTTGCATGCAACATCGTGCGTGTACTTCCTTTTTTATACGATCACGAGAAACTCACAGTCTTCGCATGCTTTTTTTCTAATCTCCAGGTGACAGATACATCAACAACTCTCCTATTCGTGCTGTTATTTGGGAATACGAATCGAAAGGCGTTAAGTGTGGCGGCAAGTTCGTGAGAGAAGTCTGTGTATTTGGGTACGCCGATTTACCGATCTTATACATGACACCGTATTTCTTTGCCAACAAATTTTACAAAAACTTTCAGCGTTTGGCATTGGATTGCTTAGAGGAGCTGCACGTTAATAGAACGTTACATCTCGAGCCAATTGACACGGAGTATTATCTACGGAATCTGCCAAAATAACCGAGAGAGGGTGTCTCAGCCGCGCCCTAAATGCCCATCACCAGGAACATGCATGAATGAAATAATAGTTATTGTAACGTAATACTTGTTGTAAAAAATCGATGTCGAACTCTGTGTTAGTATTGTACAATCAGTGTATCAATAACATTAATAACATAAATTTATAACATCATGATTATCCAATGTTTCGCGTGTATGCGCACGTTTATCTTTCTTATCCCATTCTCTGTTCTTCTCTCCCCTCTCTCATTCTCTCCATCTTCATTCTTTCTTATTTACTCACAATCGCCGCTGTAGGAGGCGAAACGACGTGTATAACATATTCACTTAGTATAGATTCTTAAATTTCAAAAGAAAAATCACAACTTAAACAATGGCATTTGTTCTTCTGTGCATTTTTATTTTGGCGAACATATATTCGGTCAGTTAGAATCTTATTCTGCTAAAATAATTACCAAAACTCACCACTAAGATCGATGTTATCTGAGTCTGTCTCAATCATATGTTTATCTTAATAACCTACCTTCGCATATACCTTTCTTGCAATATATTCAAGAAATCTCAATGTTTTCAAGAAATCTCTAACGATACACAGCTATATATATATTATAGGTTTCACATAGGTGCGAATGGTAGCGGGTGCGTATACATGCGTGCGTTCATACATATACGACCCTAACTTGGCAGATCTACATACATAACAAACCCTACATTCTAGCTTCTGCTACTTTACCCTAGCAGAATTATCGTGCCGATTGGGAAGTGCAGTGATATATCGAGCTGTTCTCCGTCGGGTGGCGCCACCATGCAATCACATGAATTTTCCGCGAAGTATTCGAGCTTGGGCTACATTCTAGCTGCTTTTTATGAGCGAGCTACGTCACGTTTGCAATATATCGGCAAAAGAAATATGAAATAGAAATGAAAATAAAACGCGGCATACAAGCGTACAGTCATCGAGCCGCATGTGTACAGTTTTACGGATGAGTGGGTGGGAGACAATCAGCGGAAGCAGTCATCTATCGATTGCGTACGTGCCTATAGCCACGCGAATCGTTCCACGTGGCCGTACACGCGTATTCCCTGACGTACGCCTGATTTACGGCGCGCGGACCAACGCAATGTTTGTAACAGCAGTACAAAGACTCTCATTTCAGTATATGTGTACATGACACGTGTCATTTGACACGTTATATAGATAACAGCCGCATCTTGTCGTGTACGCTGCATTTGAGTGAGTACCCACTCTCGCTGAGACGTACACTAAAGTCTCGCATATCTCCTAGCCCGACGGGTTGCGAAAATAACATCCACGCACAACAATCATAATAACATTAGCAGAAACAACAACGACGACAACAACAACAACATCAACATCAACATCAACATCAGCAACAACGACACCAACAAATAGACAAAAAGACAACAACAACAAAAACAGGAACGCAAACGCAATCAAAGGAGCCAGCGTATTTCCTCGAAGCAGGCTAGCCGCCGCGCCGAAGCGAGGGACGATCGACAACCGTGGTAAAAAAAACATGGGTATGTTTGCGACGAAGATCTATCGGATCCTCACAGAAGGCTTTACAACCGAGGCGCGAATCCTTCTACTAGGACTAGACGCAGCAGGTGAGTACGTATAGCGAAATGATCTACGAGTTTCCCAGCGCAGGTGAAATCATTAGATGATAAAAGCCACTCCGGTATTTTCAGGTCTGACCGACCTTTACATGTTTACATCGATCAAAATCATGTATAGCGTGTCTTTAAGGACTAGTCAGACGATTAGATAGAGAGATAAGATTTAGATATCGTTAGTCATCCTGGTAGCAATCTCAAAATCAAGATGGCGTCGTCATTAATCCGGCCCTTTTCCATATATTGGGGGTTTTCTATATATCTGTCCTTTTAAGATTCGGCATGCTTTGCAAAAACTGTTAATGTTCCTGTAAAGTCGCGGTGAAAAGCTCTGCCGTATATAATGTCGTCAACATCGTCCCGATATTGATGTGTTTAATCATTGGAGGGATCATTCCTGAAAGATTTGTGTGTGTTTGAGTGTGTGTGTGTGTGTGTGTGTGTGTGTGTGTGTGTGTGTGTGTGTGTGTGTGTGTGCGTGCGTGGCGGGTGTGCGGTGCTGAGTGTGGTCGCGTTTGTGTGCGCGTGCTGTGTGTGTTGCATGTGTGTGTGCGCCGCGCGGCCGGTGTGTGTGTGTGTGTGTGTGTGTGTGTGGTGTGTGTTGTGTGTGTGTGTGTATGCTGTGTGTGTGTGCGTGCGTGTTGCGCTGTGTGTGTGGTGTGTGTGTGTGTGTGATGTGGTGTGTGTGTGTGTGTGTGCGTGCGGTCCGCAATGTGTGTGTGTGTGTGTGTGTGTGGTGTGTGTGTGTGTGTGTGTGTGTGTGGGTGCGCGTGACAATGTGTGTTGCGGTGGTCAGTGTGGTCACATTTCGCAGCAGCAATCGCCCGATATGACTAATAGTATTAGGAAGTAAGATACTCACTTCAGGTAAAACAAATCATCTGTACAGGTCAACGAACGAGATTGTAACTAGCATTCCAACAATTGGTTCAATGTCGAGACTGTCACGAGCAGGGTTGACCTTTACTTTGGGACGTAGTGGGGGCGGTCAGGATAAATCGGAGCTTTGAGACATTACATTCAAATGCCGAAGTGATAAGCTTGTATAAGATCAAATCCGCGTCGTAGTTAGTTAACGTTGACTTCCCCATTCTCTCTCTTCTTCTCTCTCTCTCTTCTCATCTCTCTCTCTCTCCGTCTCTCTCTCTCTCCCCTCGTCTCTGCTCTCTCTCTCAGTCTGTCTCTCTCTCGTCCCTCTCTCTCTCTTTTCTTCTTCTTCCTCGCGGCGCTCTCTCCTCTCCTCTCTCTTCTCTCTGGCTTCTCTCTCTCTCTCTCTTCTCTCTCCGGCGCGCACTCCTCTCTCATCTCTTCTCTCTCTCTGTCGTCTGTCTTCATTGTCTGATCTGTCTGTCCTGTCTTTCTGTCTCTTCTCTTCTTCTCTCTCATTTTCTCTCTCTCTGTCTGTCTGTCTGTCTGTCTGTCTGTCGGGGGGGGGTTGGTCTGTCCTGGTCTGTCTGTCGTCCTGTCTGTCTGTCCTGTCCTGTCTGTCTCTCTCTCTCATCTACTCTCTCATTTATCTTTTCCACTATTATATCGTATATACTATATATATAATATCATGTTTGTGTGTGTTGTGTGTGTGTGTGTGTGTGTGTGTGTGTGTGTGTGTGTGTGTGTGTGTGTGTGTGTGTTGTGCTGTTGTGCGTGTGCGTGTTCGCGCATTTCTGTTTGTGTTTATAGTGCGTGTCCCCTTCTCATCTATAACATTCTTCCTCTTCGTTCTCCCTCCTCTGTCGCTTTATCTTCCTTCCTCTGCTCGACATACATAACACTTTCTCCCTTTCCAGATATCCACACCCTCTCTCCGCGTTAGATATCAAAGAAATGGTTGTACGCTGCAAAAATTCCATGATCTTTCAGAATGCGATCAATATTGCATCTTTCATATGATGCGTTCGTAGATTTACACAAGTGCTAAAATATATTTGTGGCATCATTTCGGCACTCTCCTCTCACACTCTCTCCTCCTCCCCTCTCTCTCCCTTCGTCTCTCTCCCTCTCTCCACTCTCTCTCTCCTCTCTCTCTTCTCTCATCCTTCTCTCCTCTCTCTCTCTTCTCTCTCTCTCATCTCTCGTCTTTCTCTCTCTCTCCCTATCATCTCCTTCCCCTCTCGTCTCTCTCTTTCTCTCTCTCTTCCCCCTCTCTCTTCTGCTACATAGCGGCCGCCTGTCTCTTTGTTTTAACTATTCGGCTTGATGTCTGTATGATAGCGCTGATCCGGAGAGAATTTATGAAGCTGGACAAACGTTTACACAGGAAACAGAATTGACAGCTGGGACATGACTTGGTGTTCATCACGTCGTGTTCGCCAACAAAGATTCTCAGGGTCAGTGTACTTACAATATAATCTAATACGGAACAATCGTTAAAGTATGCATCGTATGAGTATTACTCTCATAAAACCCCGCGGCCGCGTTTGGGGCAGTGAATTCTGCGTGCACAGAGAGCGTCGAAAGGCTAGAATCACTCATCCAGCGTTTGTGCATAATCACATGTTTCTGTTTGCGGACGTATAGACTGCATGGACCTGCTTCACTAACATGACGAAAACTTGACCGTGCATCCCTCCAGAGTCAGTGGCATTTAGGGGGTCCGCCATTTACGGAAAGGCATCTACGAAGGACTTGACGGCGTTTGAGCAAAAGGGAAAGAGTTTAAGGAAAAATAGAGCATGGAAGCTTTTAAGAGAGATTTGTTTTTTTTAGAACGTTTCAGATGTTTTCCACATTCTCCCCAAGAATGTTTGGTACTGTTCTATATATTTTAACATAGTCATTTTAAACAGAATTTTAGAGCAGCTGATTCTTTCTGGCCGCTGATTATCGTGCTGATATTCCTTTCGACTATGTGTAGAATGCACACTTTCA